AAAAGGCATGAATTTGTATCCTACCTAAGGGAAAGTATGCTCATTTCATGAAAAGCTTAATCTTCTTTCTATTTAAAGGAATTTCCCTGTTTGGAAAAAGAAAATAACTTTAATGAGAAAGAGGGGGAAAGGAAGGGAAGCGAGAAAGATAGGAGTGGGGGGTAGGAGGGAGGTGGGTGGAGAGGAAAGAGAGAGGAGGAAAGAAAAGAGAGAAAGGGAGATGGGAGAGGAAGGAAGAGAGAGGGGGATATATAAGGTAAAAGAAGGGGAGGGAGAAGAGGATGGAGAGGAAAGAGAAGGAAGTTGGATGAGGAAGGGGGAGAAGACCAGAGGGATGGTAGCGGCTGCTTACTGTAAGCGGACTAGGTAAACTGTGACCCAGTTCTTCTCCCCACCTGGCCTTCTCATTCATCCAGACTTCCTTCTTGTCTATCCAGACACTCCTCCAGGGCATAAAAATGAAGCACATGACAGTTGTGGGACATTGAGAACGGCTATACCATTCATTCCACTGCACCCCAAGAGTGAACAAAAATGTCCAGGTGAAGGGCGTTTGAGACAGACAGATTAAGAGACACATAAAGTATTAGGTCCAGTGGATGACAGAGCAGAGGCAGGTACACCTCCCAGAGGCGACTGCACACCCAGCTACTATGCGCCCAGCTCTCAGTGCAGGAAGGGGAGCACCCTTCACAACCCCCGGATCTCAGTTTGAATATCAAGAACCACTTTGCCTGCCTGGCAAGCACATCACAAAACTTGTTTCCCTGGGGGAGACATGCCACCTCAGAGGTGATTTACTGTTGGATGAGGGCTCTTAAGGAGAGGTGAGGGTGCCTGAGAAACACAACTGACATTTATCGAGGTTGAATTACAGCAAGAATTCACACGCTCCCACAAAATGGATCTGAAATGGAGTGTGCTCTAAACCAGCAAGGCATTTTCTCGGCTTCTCACAGGGCCACTCCCCCTAAATTGCAACTGGCAGACCTGATGGATCAAACAACACTGTCATAAATACTTTCTGACCATGCAGCCCAAACACATGTAGATTTATTCATGAATTATATAAATGTACTAAAGTCCTAGAATGCTAGGATATTGTAAAGCCTATATTCAACAGAGCAATCGTTAAAAAGAATGAGAGCAAATTAAATATAAATCAAGTCATACATTATTCTTCTTGCACTAAAAAGATTGTAAATTAAATATAAATAGAAGTTATACATTTTTTTCCCTCTTGCACTCAAAAAGATGGAGTTGCACAGCCCGGCTTCTAAGGCCAGGGTCCTGGAAGGCAAAGAGAAGCAGCTGCTCTAGCTCCATGCTACTGATCTGCATCCGTTCGCGGCCCTTACAGTTTAATTCTTCATAGAAACCTTTGAAAATTCAAACCACAGCATGTGTCTCTTTCAGGGCACCTTGACATACCTACACAAATCGGCTTCTTTGATATTCTATGGGTTTTGTCTTAAGCATCTGAAAACCTTTTTCTGAGGGCTAGGGAGATGGCTCAGTAGGTGACATGAGGATTTGAATTTGGAATCCCAGCACCCACATTTAAAAAAGCAAGCATTGTGCCACACACCCAGAATCTCCGAGCTAGGTGGGTGGAGACAGGATGCCTGAAACTCACGGGCTAGCCAGCATAGCAAAACCAGTGAGCTTCAGGTTCAGTGAGCGACTGTCTCAAAGCAAATGAGGCACAGAATAATAGTAACTGAAGAAGATACACAATACTGAACTTCACATGCATGCATACACATGTGTGCATGCATGCATGCACCCCCACATGCCCCCACATACTGCCACATATCCCCACACACCATTTTCTGTGAAAGGTAACAACAGACTACACCAGGCTACCATAACCACTCCCCCATCAAATAAGGTTAAAATGAAATACAAATGTTTAGTTGTTCCCCATCATTCTCAGAAAAAAGACCCTAGTCTATAGAGCCCTCCAGTGTGCATTTAGCATGACCTGAATCCTGACCACCTTTCTCATCAACCAGCCTCCCCTTCCAGGAATCGCCATCTTTCTGGCAGCTCTGCTTCTTAAAGGCACTTCTACCTCAGAGCCTCTGTTGTATGCCCTGGCTCTTGTTCCTTCATATACCTCTTCATTCAGCCTCTGGCTTTAAGTAGTCCTACCCTCATTAGCCTCTGAAGAAAAGCAGGTGACGGGGGACCCAGTGGCACACACTGCAATCTTAGCATGTGGGAGAAAGAAGGAGGCAGGAGGATGCAGAATTCAAAGCCAGCCTGTCTCTAAGATGAAATAAAAGACAAAGTGCAGGCTGTCCATCTCACTTGGAAATGAGACGCCATAGTGCAGGTGTGTGCCATGTTGGAAATGAGACCGCGTGGGGCTGGTGTGTGCCGTGTTGGAAATGAGACGGCGTGGGGCTTGTGTGTGCCATGTTAAAAATGAGATGGTGTGGGGCTGGTGTGTGCCGTGTTGGAAATGAGACGGCGTGGTGCTGGTGTGTGCCGTAGCATTAGTGTGCTACTGTCCCCTTTTTCTGCGAGACTGTCAGTTTTAGGCAAAGCATCCATGTCCAGCTCCGAGTGTGCAGTAGAACACACTATATTAATATTGATGATGATGATAAATTCTTCAAACCTACTGCATCTTCACTGTCAACAAAGACTGGAGTCCACACAGAACCAAGAAAGCTGGTGTGAGTTCTAATCCCTTGCTGGTTTAAGAGGTAAAATGTTTGCATAGCTGTTTAAACCTGTCATTCTTTTCTTGGAAGTGGACTAAATGTAATTGCGTCACCACCAGAGGCCACTTCCCCATTTCCATCTCTTTCCCACCTCTCAGAGAAAAAAAAAAAAAAAGCATGACCACTTTCAGCTCACACCTAGGACCTGGGCCTTCTGAGGAACTGCCCCCTGGAAAGTGGAGCGCATGGACCTAGGAAGTCCAGCTCTAAAGGCTGCCTCTAGGGCTGGACTGGAGAGCATCCGTGATAGAGCAGATGCACCGAGTTTCAAGTTCACTTTAAAGATACGGATGGGAGCAGGAAATATGAGCAGGAAGCAGAGTCGTGCACGCGAGGATTTTAAAAGACCCTTGGAAATGAGCAGTGTGCACGCAAACTTTCTAAATCCACTTCCTGACCTGCAGAACGTCATTTTGAATCCATGTCTTAAAAGGAGGAGAACTTTGACATGGTTAGAGGTCTGAAAAGGCTAATGTAAATCTCTGCTTACTTGTGATGTGATTACTAGGCATCCTGGTACATCAGGCTCCAGTCCTTTCAGGACTTGGATTAAGAACACGGAAATTTCTCAGATCAGGAAATGGAGAGGATGGGAAATACTGCAACGGGTTCATTTCTTTTTTCATTTAAGGACAACCAAAGGCCATCAGCACAGACCCCCCCAATTGCTTTCATATCCCACTCAACAGCATTAAAGACTACAGTGTTGTACGCAGGGAATGAATCACCAGGTGAGACAATGCTGTGAAACTTTCCTAACACCAGAAACAGAACAACCAGCAAACTAGCTGGTCCTCCCAGCTTAGGCTGTAGGTACCAGTACCAAGTTATTGATGGGCTCCGCTTTGGAAAATTGCCCAGGTTTCTCTTTGATTCTGGTTATATCTTAAGTAGTTTCTCTTCTTTTCCAATAAAGGACTGGCTGACTGATGGAAGCTAAGACAAAGCCTGTACCTGCCCAGTATATCGAAAGCATCTCCAATAGCTACTACATAAAATATAGTGTCTTCGCTAATCTGGACTTCATGTTGAGTTTCCATTCACCTGTTACTCCCTCGCCCACGGCCTCCCAGGCGCTAGGACCCAAGCTACTGCATTTACACAGAGCATTTATCCATTTTCAGGGCAAATTACTATCTGTTCTTTAGATTTTAAATTTTATTCTTCGAACAGTTATAAAGCAAGGGCCATCTTAGGTTAGCTGAACTCTCCATAGCCTGAGTATCTACTTTAAGATGGCGGTTCAAAAGTAAGTAAGTGAAAGCACATCCTCAAAGACAGACAGGTCCTACTTCAGAGAGAGATGGGAAGGAGAGAGATGGGAAGGAGAGAGATGGGAAGGGTTCTGGCTTCCTCTCTATGTCGTGAGCCATTTCCCCCTAAAAATCATTACAGGAACCATCACCCTGGGGAGTCTGCAGGGAACCTCACACCCATAATTATGTTCTATTGAGAGAACCTGCCCCACACCCAATTAAGCTGTTGATGGAGAGCTATCTGTTAGTGGAACCCGCCTCACATTCCAGCTATCCAGGGAACCAGGTGTGGCAACTTGTGACTTCTTGGCCTACCTGTCCGAATGTAATGTCTTGGCCTACGTGACGGGACCACGCAGCGAGATCCCGTGCCCTGCCCACCAAGTCCTCATCCAGGGCCTATATAAACAGCAACCATGATCCTAATAAACGGAGGCTTTGACAAATCTGCTTGGCCTCATTCTTCTGTCCTAGCTCATTCCCTTCCAGGTAGCACCCCTCCGAGACCCTGGAATAACTGATTGCAGGGTGGGCTACAACCCCTAGACTGAGTAACCCACCCAATGCAATCGACATCTCATAGCCTCTGATATCTGTGCAGGGCACCAGCTGCATGTGGTTGTGCATAACTGTAGGCTCTAGGGGAGCTAAGAACTACAACCTATAGTTGTAAAATGCACCTTAGAAACTGAAGCAGTAGAAAACGCTTTGTGCTCTTAGCAGGACTACACTCACAACTCAAAGTTTAAAACCCAGACTTAGATACGCCATCAAAAGTAATACACACTAGATTTTAAAGACCCACTCTAAAAGGAGTGGAAAATATGACATATGAATACATTTTTAACATTGATTTTAAGTTATCATATTTGTGTGCACGGTTTTATATACTATATGTTGCTAAAATTAACTTTACCTGTTTCTCTTTTACTTTTTGGCAGTTTTTTTGTTGAAGCTGAGCAAGAATTCTGCGACCATGCTAACCTCTCCCCCCAACCTTCTTTTTACACAGACAAAATAAGAGCTTGCCTTTGTGGCATACATATATTTCTGCTCTCAACTGAACTTCACAAGTTCCAGACCAACTCAACCTTAAAGGTCCATCCTCCCGAATGTGACTACAGTTCTTCCCATGTCCAGCCCATGGCTTTAGACCCACGGTTGGCATTTTCATGTTCTGACCTGTGGGAGAAGCAAGCTTGCTCCCACGCTGAGAAACTTGCACGAATTCTCAACTCTAAAAGGCTGTGAAGAGAGAGGCTTGGTAGCCCCATTCAGTTATTCTACTTTGTGGATCCTCAAACTTACTCCTTTCTTCTCCTTCCTTCCCCCTTCTCTTTCTACTCCTCCCTCTTCCTCTTGCCTCTATTTCTCTGTCTAGAAGGCTCTGGCAAACTCCCCCAAATGTACCAGCAAACCTCCCTCTTTCTCCTTGTTGCTACAATGGGTTTGACGGCCTGAGTTATCCTTCTATGCAGTCTGCTTTGAGACTCTCTGGGCATGCCTTTGGAAGCCTGATAAAGTAACAGTCAAGCCAGGATGTCAAGGTGAAGGCCGTAAACGTGTGGAAGGAAGAAAACTCTGTAAGTTTAAACCACACCACGTGGTAAGGGCATGGGAACACATACTTGGAGCATTTAGGAAATGTTCATCCAAAGACTCAAAGAACACTTCTCTGATCTCCCAAATTTAATAGGTGGACAGTCTCCTCTTTGCCAGAGAGTAAATTCCACTGAGGTCAAGATCCATGATTACTTTACTCCCTTTATTCACAAAGCATACCATAAACTTCCTCTGTGTGTGTGTATGTGTGTTTATTCACAGATACATACACAATGAAGGCAGTATAAAATATTTTAGACTCTTTGTAGGACTACATTAACTTAAACTACTGAAAGTTTAACATGCATATTATGCCATTAACATCTATATGTTAATTTTGACATGTATGTGTTCAACTATATATATCCACAAAGTACAATAAGAAGCCCCAAAATAATTACTATTTTTTTGTGTTTTTTATCTCCCATAGCAACCTCTCTTGCCATGGATAATCTCCTATTGCAGGAGGTTTTTTTTTTTTTTTTTTTTTTTTTTTTTTTTTCCACTTCAGTTTGCATTAGATTCCCCCTTCTTTGTTTTTTTTTTTTCCTCTTTTTTTCTAATTGTGTTTTTTTTTTTTTTTTTTTTTTTTTTTTTTTTTTTTTTTTTTTTTTTCCACTTCAGTTTGCATTAGATTCCCCTTAAGGTCTAGGGCAAAAAAAAAGTTGAACTCCACCCAGAGTGTCTGACTCACTAGAGGAAGACTCAGGAATCTGTGTGTCTAGCAAATTCCTAGTCAGTGCTTCAGAAACCATTGTTCCAAAGGGGGAATTGGATCATTCAGTTCTACCTCTGTCATATAATAACAGTGTGTCCTCGGTGTCAGTCACCAGAGAGTCCATGGGCTGGAAAGATGGCTCAGCAAGCAAAAGCACTACGTAGGCACGCCGAGAGCCAGATGACTGAGCTCAACTTCCTGAACCCTTGTGAGAATGCCTGGATGTGGCAGCGTACATGTGGAATCTTAGCACTTCTACAGTGAGGTGGGAGGCGAAGACAGGAGACTCATCTAGAAGCTTGAGTGCCAGCTAACCTGAAGTACACGGCACAGCTGCCGAAACGAGGCCGACTGCCAAGATGGTGAGGAAAAGCACGAGTTGCTCTTCCAGAGGCCCAGGCTCAATTTCCAGCATCCCCATGGTGGCTCACACCTATCTGTAACTCTAGTTCCTGATGTGAGAGTGATTTCTTATTAATAAAGAAACTGCCTAGGCCCCTTGACAGACCAATCCTTAGGTGGGTGGAGTAAACAGAACAGAATGCTGGGAGGAAGAGGCTGAATCAGAGAGTTGCCATGATTCTCTTACCGAACACAGATGCAGGTTAAGATCTTCCCTGGTAAGACACCTCGTGGTGTTACAGGGATATTAGAAATGGGTTAGATCAATATGTAAGAGCTAGCCAATAAGAGGCTACAGATAACGGGCCAGGCAGTGTTTAAAAGAATACAGTGTCCGTGTAATTATTTCGGGCATAAGCTAGCCATGCGGGCGGCCGGGTGCCGGGGACGCAGCCCTGCCGCTCCTAACACTACAAGTTCCAGGGGATCTGACACCCTCATGCAGATTTATATGTAGGCAAAATATCAATGCACATAGAATAAAAATAAATTTTTAAAAAATAAAACAAATAAACAAAAACAAAAACAACAACAAAACCCAAGGTGGATGTGTGAGTGTGACTGGCCGACTACATTGCCCCACTTCGATGGAAGGTCTTACTTTGATCTGTGATAGGGTAGCAAAAAGGATCTGGCACGTGAGAGGCCGGAGAGGACGGTGTGAACAGAGGCCCCTGTCACGTACACGGAAGTGACTGTGTTTGAAAGGTTGGGTCAGTCATGAAATCAAGGTAGCAACCTAGATGCTGAAATGACTTATTTGCTGCAAGCTAAGAAGCCTTTTCTATGTGGAACATGTGATGCCGTCCCATGTGTTTGGAGACACACCCCACCAGGCTTCCCATAAGCCAAAGAATGCTGAAGGACAGTTGTAGTCTAGTTTCTTGTTTAATGGAAAAATCTATGAAGTGTTCTAACCTGTTCTAGTGGGGTCGAGGAAAGCACAGCCAGTGAACATCATCCCTCAACACAACAAGGCCAAATCACACAACGATTATTAGGCACGTTGTTATCCTCACAGCTCATTTACACATTTAGGTGTCGGGCAGCAATTCAAGTTCATCCTTGGCTACATAGCAAGGTCAAGGCCAACAGTCTCAAAGAACACCCCTGCCCCAAGAGAAAAGGAGATGGGGACCAAATAAAACCCCAACAGCACCCATATCTGGCATCTCTGTCCGCAAATTATGAAACAGGAAATCATGACCACTTGAACTTGAGATAGCTTAACTACTACCATTTTTTAAAGCACTAAGCTACTTGCAAAAGTATTTTTTTCCTGTTTTCTTTGTACTTGGTTTGAGTTTACTTTTAAAAAGGATTTTTATCAGCTGTTTTAGAGACTAATCTAGCGAAAGCTTGGTGTCCCTGGAAAATCTAACGTATTTTGCTGATGACTGGTTCAAATAACAGTTAGAGACCAGGCATATGTCAAATTTGAAGAAGAAAGTTACTAGTGCATTCATATTTTCCTTTTAACTGACAACTTCACCACCATGTGAACGAATTGAAATTAATGCGTAAGATAATTCTTCCATTTGCTACTAAAATAATTCTTCTCTAAGTCACATTTCTACCATTCATGCTGATATTTAGGTAGGAATTTTATTGTTGAAAAAATATGCTTTATTTAAATTCACCTTTGGCCAATCCTTGGGATTCACTTTCAAATATAGAAATAGTTATAAAGGACTAAAGAGCAGGTATTCACTACAACAAAAACTGTAAAGCATAAAGAATCTTGAAGACATTCATTAGGAAGCCTTTCTGACTAGGCCTGGACCCCCTAAGGAGCCAATCCATTCAAAGGCTGGCAGCCCCAGAGTGTAATGGCAAGTCTATTCTTACTGACTGGAATTTGATAGTAAAAAAACAGAACAACTGGGGAACATTGAAGTTTGGACAAGGGTTGGCCTACGTGACTTTTGGGAAGCTGAGGACAATGAGGGGCGGCTGGGACTTGGGAATCACAGAACATGGAGAGGGTGGGACGGTCAGGACAGCGAGAGTGCAGCATTAGAACAAGCCAGAGCTGAGATGCATGGCTCCTACCAAACGACACATCCACTGCACGACATCTAACGCGCCTTTGGGCGCTCTTTCTTTAGTTCTAATTACAAACTGAAGAATACAGCCCGAATTACTATTAGGATGAGACGTGAGCTTCCTATGATATATGTTATAATTATGAACAGAGATGATATATATTTAAAAAAAAATAGGACAGGATTATCCAAACCCACATCAGGGCTGTTTTTCGAAGCTATAAAATGACTGGAATGATTTGATTAAGATCATGATGATATTTTGTTATTCCATGATTATACAACCCTGATGCTAGAGATGCAGCCTAAACACATCAAAAAATTTAACGGGTCAAAAAACATAAGTCTATCAAACCCCCAAAAAGCTCAAATTAGAGACTTTACACAGAGATAATGGAGGAAGATACCCCCTCTGGATGAGCTGCCTTTCAACAGAATATGTGTGGATCCAGTTCCTTTAGCGATAAATGTCAAACAAGTAAAGGGTTAAGTCACCAATAACCTACTAAAACCTCTTCCTAAATAATCAAACGTTCTTTTCAGAAGTTGAATCTCTCCATTGTCTAAATCAATCCAACCATCTATTCCACCTTCGTATAAAAGTCTAAGAAAAAGAAAAACCTGTATTTCCTATTTTTTGACAACTGACAACCTAGGGCAGACACTGTCCCCACTACGGAGGGAGTTAAGAGAAGCTGTCCAAGAAACTGTGTGGTCTGCTCTTCTACCTCACAGCTATTTACCATGTCTAAGACATGGCATCTGCATCCTCTTGAAATGTCAGCACCTCCCTAGAACTCCACTGACTGGAGTGTCATTGGCTTCCACTCATAAGATGTCTGTCTTCCACGCGTTGCCCCTCCTCCCAAATTTTAGCCTTCTCTACATTTCAGTATGACCACCTGTCTTCTAGTTCCTGTAGATTGTTATCTTCTTGTGGCACAATATTGTGCCCTGATTTTCCCCACCCACATCAGATGCAAAGTGTTCTTTAAACTGGGACATTTTACACTGGCAATTCAATAAATATTAAGTGCAGAGTGTGTGACCAGGCACTGGGATCCTACTGGCACTGGACTGCCTATCAGATCCACAGACCTTTAAGATGCATTACCATAAAGATAATGAACCCTTCCTTCATCTCTGTCCACAGTAAACATAGCTCTGTGACACACTGGGTTCCATCAGCATTAGTTCTAATATGCACCCACCAATGACATGGCTAAAGAGGAAAGTGTGTAGGAAAGAATGGTTCCATCGGAGAAATCCCAGGGGGAAAGCATCAGGCATGCACACAAATGATGCAGGGTCCAGTTTGTGTGTGTGTGTGTGTGTGCGCGCTCGCGCGCGCACATGCATGCACACACTGGCTATCATGTAGAGAGAAAAATCCTTATAACTCATGAGGATCATTAAAACAGAAGGAGAACAGAGATGGTGAAATTGAAGGATGCCAGGTGCAAGGGCATTCCAAAGAGAAGGGACATACGCAAAGGTCCAGAGACAAGGAGCGGTCTATCACAGCGGAGGTGAAGGGTGAACACATGAGGAACAACACTACCAGCGGACAGACAGATGGTAAAAGCCAGAACAAGGGACTTGATTTCAAATGGATGGTCTTGAGGCCAGAGGCCCAGTTTGTGACCCTTGTATGTTCAGAACCTGACATAACATATGACCTTCGTACTCCCAGAAGCCCGTGCTCTGGGAAGTTGTCACTGGCACAGGTAGGCACGCTCTCCCCCTTTGTCTCTCCCTGTCCCCCTTTCCCTCTCTCCTTCCGTGTGAGACATGGTCTAAAGAGACTTATTATATGAGAAATATAATAAGTTTGCCTAGAACTACAAAACCAATGGTTCCTTTAAGGGCAACAGCAAGCCACCTCAATGTTCCCAAGACCTGGAAGGCTGGTAGAGAACTTGCGTTAACCTGATGCGAACACACACACACACACACGCATACACACACACACACACACACACACACACACATTCTTCAAGCACTGTCCTGTCCACCAGCATTCATCCTCTGTCTCATGCTTCCTCATGGGATCATCAGGAAGAAAACACAGTGATAAAGTCATCTATAGAATCTACATTATCACACACTCGACCTCCTCTTCGCCTCAAATCGACAAACACCAGACACCCACATATGCAGAAGCACCCCCACACAATCTGTCAGACTACAGATTCCTAACCCCAAACAGGCTGCATTTTCTCAGTGCTAAACCCACAGCTATAATATTTTCTCTTTATTCTTCTGCCGAAAAATGAAGGCACCCTGGGAAGAAAATGCCAATGCAATCTGACTTTGCATTCTAGAGGGAGAAGAGGTACAAGAAATGTTAGCGTGTGGCCAACCTGACCCCATGTGCTCACTCTCTTAAGCTGGGGACTTGGTATTCACTTCATCCTCTTCCAACAACAGAGCTATATTCTCATGGCATGCAAAATGCACACGAAAACCTCCATCGGGAGCTTAACTTTCACATACCAACTAGAATGCACTAGGATTTTCCCCAGACCATGTGCCACACTGGGAATTTCACAAGCCAAGCATTTTATATTAGGGTGTCTGCATTAGAGGCTGAAAGCGTGCAGCACCAACTGCCAGTGACTGCCTCAGTTGATGCGCTTCTCACGTGCGCTAGAGCCCCTGACTTTTGGCTAAGCTAATGAGCATCAAGAATAAAGATTATATCTGCCCAGGAATGTGGTACATACCCTGTCACCTGAGTATTTCAGAGGCGTGGGGGCTACAAGCTCAGGGAAGACTGGGCTATACAGCAAGACCCTACCTCAAAAGGTCTCAAAAGGCAATGGCAGATGGATAGATAGGTGGATGGATGGACAGATGGACGGATGGACTGGCAGACAGATGATCTTTGCAGTTACTTGCTGACATGTGACTAAGCCCTGGCTCATGAGATATGAGTCCAAGTGACAAATGCACTTGTAAAGGCTGGGACAGCCCCACTCCTTCCCACTTTGAAAAGAGCTGTGTGAAAACTGGGTCCCTGGAAAGCAGACCTGCTGGGAGCCACCTTAAATAGCAGGGACAAGCAATTCTTCAAAACGTGAGCCCTGAGGATGGGAACACGGGACGATGATGAGTCTAGGTGTTGACTGGCTGCTTATAACACAGCAAAGAGCCCAGGTTTCTCATAAAAGAGAAAATCTTACATGTAATCTTCAACTGGCTTGAATCTTGGACACAAAAGCTCTGTCTAGGACCCAATGAATTCACATGAGAACAGA